CAAAAGCTAGAGTGGAAAAAACAAAGTTTTCCCGTCTTGAAATGGTCAAGAGGTAAAGATAAATATATTGGAAGGCTATATTCGGACATCGGAACAGTTCCGAGTGATTGGAGTATTTTTCGGAGTACCGAGAGTTACGGGAATTCGCCGGGGGAAGTTAATGGGCCTTATTAGGCTTTAGTGGAGAGAGGGAAGAAGGGCCATGAGGTGGCGTGCGCCTCCCCCCTGCCCAAACCGAATTGGACAAGGGGTGGGGCGCCCCCCCTTTCCTTCTCCCTCTCCCTCCTTTCCTCCTTTCCTACTCCAAAAAGGAAAGGGAATCCTACTAGGACTTGGGAGTCCTAGTAGTACTCTCTACACTTGGCGCGCCTCTAGGAGGGCCGGCCTCTCTCCCTCCCTCCTTTATATATGTGGGCAGGGGGCACCCCAAAGGCACACCAAGTCTTCTCTTAGCCGTGTGCGGTGCCCCCCTCCACAGTTACACACCTCGGTCATATAGTCGTAGTGCTTAGGCTAAGCCCTGCGTCAGTAACTTCATCATCATCGTCGCCATGCCGTTGTGCTGACGCAACTCTCCATCGTCCTCAACTGGATCAAGAGATCGAGGGGCGTCATCGAGCTGAACGTGTGCTGAACGCGGAGGTGCCGTACGTTCGGTGCTTGGATCGGTTGAATCGCGAAGACGTTCGACTACATCAACCGAGTTACTAAATGCTTCCGCTTTCGGTCTACGAGGGTACGTGGACACACTCTCCACTCTCCCCTCTCGTGGCTATGCATCTCCAAGATAGATCTTGCGTGATCGTAGGAATTTTTTTGAAATACTGTGTTCCCCAACAGGAGAAACAGACACCCACCAGCCACATGTGTGCGAAGCACGTCGGTAGAACCAGTCTCATGAACACAGTCGTGTAATGTCGGTCCGAGCTGCTTCATCCAACAATACCGCCGAATCAAAGTAAGACGTTGGTGGTAAGTAGTATGACTATTATCGCCCACAACTCTTTGTGTTCTACTTGTGCATATAACATCTACGCATAGACCTAGCTCGGATGCCACTGTTGGGGAACGCAGTATTTCAAAAAAATTCCTATGATCACGCAAGATCTATCTAGGAGATGCACAACAACGAGAGGGGAGAGTGTGTCCACGTACCCTCATAGATCGAAAGCGGAAGCGTTTAGTAACGCAGTTGATGTAGTCGAACGTCTTCACGATCCAACCGATCCAAGTATCGAACATACGTCACCTTCATGTTCTGAACACGTTCAACACGATGACGTCCCTCGAGCTCTTGATCCAGTTGAGGACGAGGGAGAGTTCCTCAGCACGACGGCTGGTGACGGTGATGATGAAGTTACCGGCGCAGGGCTTCGCCTAAGCACTACGATGATATGACCGAGGTGGTAAACTATGGAGGGGCGCACCACACACGGCTAAAGATTGTCTGTTGTGCTTTGGGGTGCCCCTGCCCACGAATATAAAGGAGGGGGAGGAGGAGGCCGGCCTAAGGGGGGCGCGCCATAGGGGAGTCCAACTAGGATTCCCAATCCTAGTTGGAGTCCCCTTCCTTTTCCAAGAGGGAGAGAGAGGGAAGGAGGAAAGAGGGGAGCGCCGCCCCCTCCTAGTCCAATTCGGACCAGCCATGGGGCCAGGGGGCGGCCACCCCTTGTGGCCCTTATCTCCTTTCCACTAAAGCCATTAAGGCCCACTACTTCCCCGGGGGGTTCTGGTAACCTCCCGGTACTCCGAAAAATACCCGAAACACTTCAGAACCATTTTGGTGTCTGAATATAACCTTCTAATATACCGATCTTTACCTCTCGACCATTTCGAGACTCCTCGTCATGTCCGTGATCTCATCCTCTCCGAACAAGGTTCGGTCATCAAACCACATAACTCATAATACAAATCTTCATCGAGTGTTAAGCGTGCGGACCCTACGGGTTCGAGAACTATGTAGACATGACCGAGACACATCTCCGGTCAATAACCAATAGCGGAACCTGGATGCTCATATTGGTTCCTACATATTATACGAAGGTCTTTATCGGTCAAACCGCAGAACAACATACGTTATTCCCTTTGTCATCGGTATGTTACTTGCCCGAGATTCGATCGTCGGTATCTTCATACCTCTAGTTCAATCTCGTTACCGACAAGTCTCTTTACTCATTCCCTAATGCATCATCACATCACTAACTCATTAGTTACATTGCTTGCAAGGCTCATAGTGATGTGCATTACCGAGAGGGCCCAAAGATATCTCTCCGATACATGAAGTGACAAATCATAATCTTGATCTATGCCAACTCAACAAACACCATCAGAGACACCTGTAGAGCATCTTTATAATCACCCAGCTACGTTGTTACGTTTGATAGCATACAATGTGTTCCTTCGGTATTCGGGAGTTGCATAATCTCATAGTCAGAGGAACATGTATAAGTCATGATAAAAGCAATAGCAATAAAACTAAACGATCATTATGCTAAGCTAACAGATGGGTCTTGTCCATCACATCATTCTCTAATGATGTGATCCCGTTCATCAAATGACAACACATGTCTATGGTCAGGAAACTTAACCATCTTTGGTTAACGAGCTAGTCTAGTAGAGGCATACTAGGGACACTCTGTTTGTCTATGTATTCACACATGTACTAAGTTTCTGGTTAATACAATTTTAGCATGAATAATAAACATTTATCATGATATAAGGAAATATAAATAACAACTTTATTATTGCCTCTAGGGCATATTTCCTTCAGCTCGACCTCCGTCGCATCCGCCAGCTCCTCCATGTCCCGCCGCCGTAACATGAGTTGCGACCGCCCGTCCCGTGCCAGTCCAGATCCAAAGCAGGGCGGGCGTGTCCCCTTCCCCTCCGGCGGTTGCACCGCCCTGGGCAGCATTGGGTCCTCGTGTTCACGGCTACCGTGCACATGCGCATCCCGAATTTGGAGGCAAAGGCGGCACGACGCGGGCGGCAGCGGGCGACGGCGATGGTGGTGCCTGGCTCTTCCCGCCAACGCGCATGGTCCGTCCCCGTCGACTCGGAGGAGGCCCTCCTCCGTTATGTCATGCAACGCTCCCTGACCACGGTAGGGACCGACGCGCGGCGCCTCTGGCGCAAGAATGCGAAGGCTCTGAGCACCACGCGAGGGAGAAGGACTCCGCCAAAAGGAGCACCAACGCCTCCTCCACTGCCTCTCCGGGTACATCCCCTTGTCGGAGGAGAGCAACACCACCACGAACGACGACAAAGACAATCCTCCCGTTGCGGACGCCTACATGGAGGAGATGGACCGCCGCGTCGCCGACCGCAAGGGCAAGGGCTCGACCAGGAAGTGGCGAATTCCGGCCACCCCAAACTGCTATGTTCATATTTTTAGTTGTTTTTATAGCATATTTAGGTTGAATTTGAACTCCACCGCCCCTTCTGGATGAACTTTTTGGATGTTCGATGACTGAAATGTTATGTTCTACGTTTGTAATGTCGTCTACGTACTTGCATGTGTTTGTATGAAAAGGGCATAGGACATTTGAGGTTGTGGGGAGGGCAGAATGGCAACTGACCGGGCACTGCCAGCGGACGCGGCCGGACGCCCCCGTGAGTGTTTAGGAGCCACAATTTGCCAATCATGGTTGTAGATGCTATAAAGAACTTATATGGAGACTCATGTAACGTCCCACTCATGTAACACCAAACTTAAGATTGATATAGATTGTTTACCAATTGCAGACCTTACTTTTAATCTGCCACCTAAAATGCATTAAGAAATTTTTTTGAAAAAAAGATTGTGGGCACAAGGTTGAACAACAACTAGCAAGCAAGATCTCAGATAACAGTATCAATTTTTGGTTCATCTATTTGTGGTATCATCATTGTTTTCTTTCATAAACACATAACAAGTGCATATGCTCACATACATGCACACACACTCAACCTGTAAATGTATACACACACATTCTATCCCTATAGATGCTTTTGAGAGGCAGATCTAACAACTTTTAAGATTGACGAATGCACCATAAACATTAAACTCACTTTCTCTCATCCATGAAAATGAAAGCTCTTATTGAAAGGAAATGGAAACTTCGTTTGATCCGTGTCATCAGGGCGAAATTGTAAACGCTCATGGGGATATGAAATTATGGTCGTTGATGTCAAATCTAACGATCCAATCACACTCGACTGGACGTTTGCAATATTTTACAAAACATTGACGTAGAATAAAACCTGTTTGTCGGGATTGCAACAAGGCTCGTGTTGCAAAACGCCGAGCACGACATAACATTATTGTAAAGGCCCAACAACTCACATAAAGGATCCCACTTCTGTTTGCGGCTCTATCGAACAATGGTTCAGGCTTTTAGAATTATCATCCGTCCACCGGACACGTAGCCGGATAGTGGGCTTTTAGAATTATCATCGGACGGACAGTATCATGAACGATATGAAACCCACGTATTCCATGGTGCCTAGGAGATATATAAAATTAGGTAGTTTTTCAAAAAATAATTAAAATTAGGGTAGTTTTTCAAAAAATAATTAAAATTAGGGTAGTATTAGGGTAAGTTAATGTGAAATCTGACGGCGCAGGCACGCTCGACTGGACGTTTGCAAAGGAGACCCTGGAACAGAAAAGTATCCCGATCAGAGGGGCAAATCGTCAAGCGTAACATTCTGATTTCTGCTGCTGCTGCTGCTCCTCCTCCTCCTCGCACCTTCCACCCTTCGATACCACGTCTTCTCCTTCTCTACCTTTCTTCCCATCAAGAACCCAATCCAAACCTCAACTTCGAACAAAAATCCCAAGAGATTCCCCAAGAGGTTTCATTTTGCGTCAGATCAAACCCAGAATCCGCCACTACCCGCGGAGGTGAGATGATCCGGATCTTTGGTCGTATGTTAGCACCCTCTCCTAATCTGATCCCGCGGCCATTGTGTATTCGATTGCAGCAGTGAAGTAGAGCGGTGAGCAGCGAGGAGGGGCCATGGCGTCGTTGCCAGAGGAGGAGGAGGCCTTCGAGCACACGCTGCTGGTGGTGCGCGAGGTGTCGGTGTTCAAGATCCCGCCGCGCACCACCAGCGGCGGCTACAAGTGCGGCGAGTGGCTGCAGACGGACAAGATCTGGACGGGCCGCCTCCGCGTGGTGTCGTGCGGCGACCGCTGCGAGATCCGGCTCGAGGACCCGGGCTCCGGGGACCTCTTCGCCGCCTGCTTCGTGCTGCCGGGCCAGAGGGACAGCGCCGTCGAGACCGTGCTCGACTCGTCGCGCTACTTCGTGCTCCGCATCGAGGACGGCAGGGGGAAGCACGCCTTCGTCGGCCTGGGCTTCGGCGAGCGCAATGAGGCCTTCGACTTCAACGTCGCCCTGTCGGATCACGAGAAGTATGTCAAGAGAGAGCAAGACAAGGAGACCGGTGGCGAGGAGGCAGACGATAGCCAGATTGACATCCACCCGGCGGTGAATCGCCGGCTCAAGGTAACAGAAAAATGCCCAGCTTCTCTCTTTGCTATTGCTCAGCTATAGTGTAATCTGATTGATCAAAGGCTACATTTTCACTGCCAAATTAGTTGCTCCTTATCTGAAATATGTTCAGAATTTTTCATAAATGAATTGAAAATGTGTTCTGATACAAACTGTTTATCCAAGTAGGAAGTATCTAATATGCTGCTACAAAATGTCGACTTCTTTGTTCAAAATAATAAGGGCCAGTATAAAGTTACATAATGACCAAATGAACAATCACAGATATGTTACTAATTGCTTTGTATGACATTTGGTGATATAGCTTACTTGCCCACTTCATTATTGCTTTATCTCCCACTTAGAGCATCTCCAATAGATGATGTAGATGTAAAAATAACTGGTTTTTACCTCACGAAGGCACAAAAACGGTGCTCCAATAGATGATGTAGATGCAAAAAAAAAAATGCTTGAGTTTTCTCCATGATGTAAAATAGGGCACCAAGTGATGCAAATTTGCATCATTTGGGCCGCTCGAGCAAAACGTGAGCAAAACGCGCGCAGCCCCAACTGCCACACGGAACGTTCCCGCCGCGTGCCCGCTCTCCACCCGACCACCGCCGCTGGCGATTTCGGTCGGCAAGGCTGAGACACACTTTATCCAGTATTCTTGTAAGATGCATGCATGTTCTCTAATACTCCCTCCGTCCCAAAATAAGTGACTCAACTTTGCACTAAAGCTTGTACAAAGTTGAGTCACTTATTTTGGGACGGAGGGAGTAGTTTGTCTTTATAAGAGGTTAAGCCATCAGGGTAATGGGACTAATGCTTTTGCCTGATGCATGACCCCTATGGTTTTATATCTGTTCCTGACCTTTTGATGATGGTGTCCCTGCTGTTGTAGGAAGGTGAAACCATTAGGATAAACGTGAAAAACAAGCCATCAACTGGAAGTGGCATGCTTTCCTCTGCTGGCTTATCTGGTGGGGCCACTGAAAAACCTAAAGCAAGCATGCTCCTTGCACCACCGCCAGGTGCAACCGGGAAGCTTCGGTCTCCGCTCCCACCTCCCCCTAATGACTCTGCATCTGCAAGAATGAGTTCTGGACCCAATGCTGGAACCAGGGCCTCAAAAGAACCTACCAAGAAAAGCATCGACCCCTTTTCAGATATTTCTGCTCTAGAGGTGAGAATTAAATTTTGTACTTCACTACAATCTCTACACTTCTTGCAATATATGATTGTAAGTGATACCCGCCCAGCTTCTCATTTTGCTCTGTCTTGTCTGGGTGGCTTACACATCTCCTCTCTTCTGGACTTCCATTATCTGTGGTATGCAGCGAAGCCTACCCTCATCGACCGAACTGGGACAAACAAAAAGCACCGGTGCCGGATGGGCAGCATTTTGACAACAGAATGCCATCTGTTGTGTCACAGACAAACTGTGTGACTGAAAAAGTACACAAAATTTCTACTCACTGGAGCCTGTACCCTATGAAATCACATGGTGAAAAATGACGATCTGCATCCACTTGGTACTTGAAAAATAAACCTTTGGGGAGGTGCTGTTATCTATCAAGGCATCAACCCGCATGGATTCAGGGAGCTCCGAAAGTCTGAATATTTTCCTGAATAGAAGTGTGGGTTTCCTTGTTTGTCATATTTGTGTTTGCCGGATCTCATATACTGATACAAGAATCATACTGACCTCCACATGTATTTCTGTCCTGAAAGATTCGAGAGTACTGTTTATGCGAAAAGCTTGTTTTATTCTATCATTTGCGAAGATTCGTTTGAGAACTAGAGCACGGTTATGTTTGTTCCCTGTGCTGATCTGATAATGGTTTTATAGCAACAACCACCATACAAACATCTGGAATAGCAACATTGAACAGTCGTGAAACCAAGAATGATTCTGAATATGAAGTGTATACCTTGACAAAATGAAATTTAAAAACAAAAATTACCATTGGCAGAAGGGAGCAAAACAAGCAATATGTGAGCATTTTGCCATACATGGACGACAGCACCATTTTTTTATTTAAGTAGACGCCAGCATGATTTTGCCCATATCAAATGAAGAGAAGTGAAGCAAAGCCACAAAACTGATAAAAACGGCATCACGGCTTCAATAATTTTACTTTGTTAGATTGTCAATGGATTATTGTAGTCCCTCCCATCCATATTAATTGCCGCAGCTTTTGTAGTACTCCCTCTGTAAACTAATATAAGAGTGTTTAGATCATTATCTAAACGCTCTTATATTAGTTTATGGAGGAAGTACAACTTTATATGGATCAGAGGAAGTACATTTTTTTCCTTAGGAAACACACTCAACCAAAGCCACTCATTCAACTGTGTATTTTTAGCATCCCCTGTTTCTAACCTACAGGCTGGCTTCTGTGCCACCAGCTAAAACATTTGGCGACTATATTTCGACGCGCTTGGGCCTAAAATTCAGGCCAAAATTCCCCACCATTTTGGAGCCATGCAAACAAAATTGTGATCCTAACTTCGGGGGCAGTTCATTCACATGTAGATGGATTTTTACCCCAAACAAATTTTGCCTCAGTCAAGACAAGTATTGGATGCAGTTTCTTACAAGGGTGCCTCATAGGCTTATGCATTTGATTGTTTCTTGCTCTTGTTATCCCGTTTGCAATGGATTCTGCGAGGAGCTGGTTCAACAAGCTCCAAACGAGGGAGAAATCCATCGGCAAGAAGAAAGATATGCCTCCAAGTGGCAAGGAAGGGACCGATGAAGCACCTTCCAGCGCGACGAAGCAAAGGGTCGCCGCGGCAAAACAGTACATCGAGAAGCACTACAAGGAGCAGATGAAACATCTACAGGACAGGAAAGAGAGGTAAGTAATGAGGATCCGTGCCGCATCTTGGCCGATTGTCATAAGTTTTAACTGTCAATAAGGTCTAGCATTTTACCGGCCCATGATGTAATATGTTTGCCCATATGCAAAATGATAATTGTGAGACCTTTCACGTGTCGTTTCCGTACAACCTTGTGATCCCCGATAAAAGAAATGATTGGATTCAGGAATAATTTGTGTGGTAATTGTACTATATGTATAAGTTGTGGATTAATGTAATCCTACGAACCATTAAGCATATATGCTCGTCACATGATTTTGCTCGCGATAGAATTTTACATTGCTGGCCATGTTTAATTTCAAGGAATAATGCTTTAACTGGTGATTTTTTTTGTTTCACGATATAGACGGTATAGTTTTGAAAGGAAGCTAGCAGATGCCAATGTGTCCGAGGAGGAGCAGAACAACATCCTGAAGCAATTTGAGAAGAAGGAGACAGAGTACATGCGTTTGCAGAGGCACAAAATGAGTGCCGAGGATTTTGACCTGCTGACAATGATAGGGAAAGGAGCATTTGGTGAGGTAAAACTTCCATGCAAATGTAGGCTCACTCTACGTCCTCTTTCCATCTGTTCTTTCTTCCCAATTGCTGCAAAATTTTCCTTCTAGGTTAGGATCTGCAGAGAGAAGACCACACGGAATGTCTACGCAATGAAGAAACTCAAGAAGTCAGAAATGCTTCGCCGAGGTCAGGTATGACTATCTTGTGATAAGAATTCTGGGTGTGCGTTTACGTCGAATTGTTCGCTCCGTCTCTGATCATACTTTGGATTTCACACAGGTTGAGCATGTCAGAGCCGAAAGGAACCTCCTTGCCGAAGTGGACCACCATTGCATTGTGAAGCTGTATTGTTCTTTCCAAGATAACGAATTTCTGTATCTCATAATGGAGTACCTTCCTGGAGGCGACATGATGACATTGCTGATGAGAAAAGACACGTTGACCGAGGATGAGGCTAGGTTCTATGTCGGCGAAACGGTTCTCGCAATAGAAGCAATCCACAAGCACAACTACATCCACAGGTATGTGTTCGGCTCCTATAAATGGTACATTTTTTTGCAGGAACCTATAAATTATACGTACTTGATATTTTGGAGATTTCCTTATGAACTTGGTACTTGATCTTCCAGAGATATCAAGCCTGATAATCTGCTCCTAGATAGATATGGCCACTTGAGACTATCCGATTTTGGGCTATGCAAACCGCTTGACTATGCAGCCTTCCCTGACTTGAATGAGAAGGATGTCACGCCTAATAGAACATCATCGGCTCATGGTGATGGAAGGCAGCAAACTACGCCGAAACGCACACAGCAAGAGCAGCTGGAGCACTGGCAAAAAAACAGAAGAACTTTGGTCAGTATTACCTACACCTTATTGAACTGATCATTAATCATTAGTAGCTTATCCATAAATAAACCATGAGAGAGCGGGCATTATTGTTCGTTCGGCCGCTTTTGAACTGTTTCCATGTTTCTGACATGCCCTTAAATGATTGCAGGCTTACTCCACTGTTGGTACACCCGACTACATTGCTCCAGAAGTTCTTCTGAAGAAAGGTTATGGGATGGAGTGCGATTGGTAAGCGTAATTTGCGGTATATCACATGCCATTGCATCTGTTGAGTTTCACTCAAATACAAAATGGTTTCCACTTTGTTTAGGTGGTCACTTGGTGCTATCATGTATGAAATGCTAGTGGGGTATCCCCCATTCTACTCGGACGAACCTATGACAACTTGCAGAAAGGTAGTCATGGGTATCCCCCATTCTACTCGGATTTCCAAGTTTTATTGTTCTCTGCTTTCATCTTATGCAATTTTGTTCTTGTTGCGTATATGCGGGCCACGACAGATTGTGAACTGGAGAACTCACCTTAAATTTCCGGAAGAAGCACGGCTAACGCTGGATGCAAAAGATCTAATAAGTAGACTCTTATGCAGCGTTGACCAACGCCTTGGTACAAAAGGTGCAGAGGAAATTAAGGTTGTTATGTGTCCTTTAAGAATGCCTTGAAACATGCCTCCAATCAAATATCTGAGTCCTTTAAAAAGAACATAAAAAATGGTGCCACTACCGAATTTTTGTTCATACTACTTTGCATGTTTAATATTAGGAGCACATCTGGTTTAATGAAGTAGACTGGGAGAAATTGTATGAAACCGAAGCTGCATATTTACCTCAAGTAACGGATGAGTTGGACACTCAGAATTTTGAGAAATTTGAAGAGGTGGGTAGTTGGTTTTCTTCTAAATTATGTTCTACTTCATCTCCAGAAGTCAGTACATTTTTTTTTAATTTATGTTGTATTTGCAGTCTTCGGATCATTCTCAAGCTTCATCAAAGACAGGCCCTTGGAGGAAGGTAATTTGCATTTATATATAAACTCTTTCGTTAACATTACAAATTTCAACCTATGTATGCAATAATTTGGACCGCCTTTTTCCCCATACATTCTGTCATTTGCCTTGCAGATGCTTTCATCAAAGGACTTGAATTTCGTGGGCTATACTTACAAGAACTTTGAACTTGTGAATGATGATGAAGTTCTTGAAATGGGTACTGTGTACTTTCGACTTTCTTTAAATAACTATGTTTGCCTCTTCCATTGCCACCATTTGTTCTTGTTATAGCCGATTATATAAGCAGATATACCATGATTCAAACTGTGTGAACATGTTGAAGTTATTCATCTTGTGTCAATTTTCAAAATGCATGAGTTTGTTATGCCACACGTTTTTTTTAGGTAGAAACAAATCTATTTTGAATCATGAACTGTTGTGCTTGGTCTGACTTGAGCCTTTAACTTTTTTTTTCGCGAATACGCTAAGCTTGCGTATCATTCATTGACAGGTAGTGTTAGGAATATGCAACATGTACTATTGAGAGATCAAAGCCAGCATATATACACATATATGGGGATGCCAAAAGGCTACAAGAGGATGCCAAGAGACTAGAATACAAAAGGTCAAAAGACATCACTAATATAACTCTACCACCCCCCCTCTCTCAAACTCATGGTGAATCCACAACACTGAGTTTGGAGAGATGGAATCCATGTTGCGCTCTAGTCTGGGCCTTCGTGAAGAAGTCTGCTAGTTGTAACTCAGAAGGCACATACTGAAGAGAAATAACATGATACTGCACAACAGCGCACACATAAGAAGTATCAACACCAATATGCTTGGTAAGCTCATGCTTCACGGGATCCCGCACAATACTGATAGCACTTGTACTGTCTGACAAGAGGATGGTAGGTGTTGTAACAGAAACACCTAAATCCTCCAGTAACCATCGTAACCAAGTCACCTCTGTTGTCAGAGGAGCCATAGCTCGCAACTCAACCTCTGCACTCGAATGGGAAACTGCAGTCTGTTTCCTCGTCTTCCATGCAATGAGAGAACCACCAAGAAAAACATAGTAAGCGGAAAGTGAACGGCGATCCGTAGGATCACTAGCCCACGTAGCATCCGAATAGGCCTGGAGCTGTAACGAGCTAGAATGGGGGAAAAAGAGACGACGAGAGATTGTGCCACGAAGATATCGTAGAACACGTAGAAGGTGACTATAGTGAACTGAAGTGGGAGCAGAAACAAACTGACTCAGAATATGGACAAGATAGGAGATATCCGGACGAGTGGCAGCAAGATAGACAAGACTCCCAACAAGATGACGATAACGCGTCGGATCAGACAAGGGCTCACACCATCTGAAGCGCAAAGGTGAACATTAAGCTCCATAGGAGTCTCAACGATGCGCTCATCACTGAGAGCCGCACGAGTAAGAAGATCCTGGATATACTTTTCTTGGAAAATAAAAAAGGCATCAGAGGTGGAGGAAACCTCAATCCCAAGAAAGTAACGAAGAGGACCAAGATCAGACACCAGGAACTGCTCACTGAGACGGGCCTTGACAAAGGCAATGTACTCAGAATCATCGCCAGTGATGATCATGTCATCAACATATAGAAGAAGAAGAAGAGTCCTACCACGAGCAGAAAGGTGGACAAACAACGCTGGATAATGAGCATTGGGCAAAAAACCAGCTGCTGTCACCACAGAGGCGAAGCGCTCAAACCAGGCAGGGAGGCTTGCTTAAGGCCATAGAGAGAGCGACGAAGATGACAAACCATGCCATCAAGAACAGAATACTCAGGTGGTGGCTGCATATAAACCTCCTCACGCAACTCACCATTTAGAAAGGCATTCTTCACATCAAGTTGAGACACAGACCAATGGCGAATAGAGGCCACGACAAGAAGTGTGCGGACAATGGTCATATGGGCCACAGGAGCAAAAGTCTCATCATAATCACGACCATGCTCCTACTGAAAGCCACGAGCCACAAGACAAGCTTTATAACGCTCAAGAGAACCATCAGAGCGAGTCTTTATCTTATAGACCCACTTACAAGTGATGGGACAAACACCGGGAGGAAGAGAAACTAGATCCCATGTGCCGGTGCGCTCAAGGGAAGCAATCACCTCAGCCATCACAAACTGCCATTCATGATGAACAACAACATCTCGATAAGAAGTCGGCTCAAGAATGGTCGAAAGACCATAGCGAGAAGGAGAATATCTGTCAGGGGGTGGACAAGTCCGAGAACGAAGACCAAGTCGGCTGAGAGGAGGAAGACGACACACCAGAAGTAGAGGGCACATCAGTAGACTCATCTGCAATACGTGGACGACGAGTATAATGGAAATGAAAGGAGGGAAGAGGTGGAACCACTGGAGGTGGTGACGGGGAATGTATCGGTGATGAAGGTGGAGAATAGGAAGGTATCGGTGATGAATGTGAAGAAGGAGAAGGTATCGATGATGAAGGTGAAGAGTTATGCGATAAGGAAGGAGAAGAAATCATAGGAGAGGACGGGGTCGGATCTGCAACAGTGGGACGAGGAGTAGGAGTACTAGGTACAACGAGAGGTGTATCCAGAAATGTAAGAAAAGAGATGTCCTCTGTGGAAAAGGCCGAGGAGGATGGACGCGGGTAGAAGGGACGAGACTCATCAAAGGTCACATCTCGAGAAATATGCATCCAACGACCGACAGGATCCAAACACCGATAGCCCTTATGCTCATCACTGTATTCGAGAAAGACACACTCAACAGACTGAGCTGTCAGTTTGGTGCGTTCACGTGGGGCAAGCAAAACATAGCAAACGCAACCAAACAAACGAAGCGTCGAATAATCAGGAGAACGACCAGAAAGACGCTCGAGAGGGATACCACCCTGTAGAGCAGCAGATGGCTGAATGCTGATGAGATAGGTAGAAGTGGTAATAGCCTCAGCCCTAAAGTGAGGCGGAAGAGAGGCGGTGATCATCATGGCACGCGTCGTCTCAAGAAGATGACGATGCTTGCGCTCAGCCACACCATTCTGAGCATGAACACCAGGGCAAGAGAACTGAGTAAGAGTACTCTGCTCAGTAAGGAATCCTCGTAGCGCATGGGAGATATACTCACCAGCTAAATCTGTGCGAAAAACATGAATAGGAGTGGAAAACTTGGTATGAACCATGGCAGCAAATTTTTTATATATAAATAAGACCTCACTACGAGAAGACATGAAATAGATCCAAGTGTACCGAGAAAAGTCATCTATAAAGATAATATAGTAGCGATGACCGTCTTTCGAAGTGAAGGGAGCCGGACCCCAAACATCAGAGTGAACGAGATCAAAAGGGTGCTCGGACACTGACCCACTATGAGGATATGGTAGCTGAATCTGCTTACTAAGCCTACAACCCAGACAATCCAACGAAGCGTTACCAGAGACAGACCCCAGAACACCGCGATGAACCAAAGACGAGAGACAAGAACCACATAAATGGCCAAGAAGATGATGCCACTGTCGAAAAGAGCTGGTAGATGCAGCAATAGGGGCTACGAGATTGGTGGTGGTGGTGGCAGTGGAGGGAAGACGAAGCCAGTCAAGCTCCCAGAGACCATCAGAGCGTCGATGCGATGATCCTGAACAGAACATGAATCAAAGTCGAGAATGACCTTACAGCTAGAGTCAACAGTCTGACCACCAGATATGACTTGCATGGTAAGTCGAGAAACATGAGCGACAGAGGGAACATGAAATGAAGAAGTGCTAAGAGTGCCTCGACTAGCTACAAGGAGAGGAGTGTCATCAGCCGTAAGAACGCGAACAGGAGACTCGACAGGTCGAACGGAGGTCAAAGTAGAAGAGTCATAAGTCATACAAAAAGATGCTACAGTATCAAGAATACATGGGGATGTATCTGAATGAGTAGAAGGTGATCTCTCAGTGCCAGAAGAGTCGGCCACAGAAACTACAAAACCCATCGGTGAAGAATCCCAAGCAGCAAGCAGGTCTCGCAGCTGCGCAATCTCATCCGTAGACAGAGACACGGCGGTAGAGGTCGAGGTAGAGACATCTGCCGACGAAGAGCGGACACCACCGCCCGTGGAAACCGAGTGCAGAGTCGACGAAGAGTAGCGAGTCGATGAAGAGTGGCATGTGAAAGCCACCAACAGAGTCGACGTAGATCGACGATCACCATGTAAGGAGGCCGCCAGATCGATGTAGGGTGGTCACCATCACGTGCGGAAGCCATCAAATAAGTCGTTGTAGAGCGGTCACAACCGCGGGCGGAAGCCGCGAGAGGAGTCGACGTAGAGCGGCCACCACCATGTGCAAAAGCCGCAAGACGAGTCGACCTAGAGCGAGCATCACCACCGCTGGAAGAAGCTGAGAGAAAATTCGGCGAATAGCGACCAATACAGACCGCTGAAGATATCGTAGGAGATGTCACGAACAGACGAGGACCAAATACCGAGCGACGACGTGTGTGCAAGACAGGATCAATACAGGGAACACCGTAAAAAAATCACCGGATAGCTAGGATGAAAGACCAGCCCCGACGAGAGCATTTTTTTCAACCGATCTGGATCGGGTCAACCACAGACCCGAAAGGCCCCAACACAGTTAACTGAACACCCGATGGGTCTGGATGGGTCTGGACGAGAGCGGTCAGGAGCAGCAGATCGATCCTGACGGGAGGCCAGCCGAACGAGGACCAGATCGATCCAGCGGGGCGGACCCAGTGAGCGCTCGATCCGATCAAAACAGGTTCGATCGAAACAGAAACAGCAGCAGCCGACCAGGCGGAGCAGCGATCGGTAAGGAGCAACTGGCGGATCGAGCAGCGGCGTTGACCAGCGGGAGTGGCAGAATCCGGCGGTATTAGGCGAGATGCAGCGAATACCAGCAGCCGGCGGCGCGAGCAGTAGCGGCAGACTTCACGGCGCCTGGTGATCGATGAGCACATGGAGTCTCGACTTGAGCCCACGGGACTTGTAATCAGGAACGGGTGTGTGTAGAGTGCAGGATTCTCTAGCAAATCAGCCAACGGAGGTTGACCAGCGGGCGGAAGATCGGATTGGGAGCCGTGCGGCACGCAGGATTGGAGCGCGTCAGGCCAGCACGCGGAGGTGAGACGTCGCGTGGACAGCAACAGCCAGAGTAGCAATGAACGTGGCGGGTAGGGAGGGCAGCGGCAGCCGGGAGCCGGCAAAGAGATGAAGGCGGCGGGGAGAAAGGATCAAGCACGAGTTGCCGCGTGTGGAAAAAAAATTCTAAGGCTCTGATATCAGGTTAGGAATATGCAACATATATTATTAAGAGTTCAAAGTCAGCATATATACACATACATGAGGATGCCAAAAGGTTACAAAAGAATGCCAAAAGACTAGAATACAAAGGTCAAAAGATATCACTAATATAACTCTAACAGGTAGCAAAGAAATTGAAGCTTAAATTATGAATCAATCAATATAAACCCAAAAGTTTCTAATCTCGTCTAACATGAACCCTAATCTGGCTTTGAAAAGTTGTTTGCATTACACCTGCCAAAAATGCAAAAAGTGATTTTGAATGTATGAAATTATATGAAATTTAAAACCACAAACATTCCTCCAAATACTGGAATGTTTACGAGAGAATCCCTTTTTTTGTGTGTGGAATACAAATGATCTTATTAGTTGAATTTGTTTCCTTTTTTCTTCATAGCATTCTCCATCCCCATGAGTAGTTTAAGAAAAATTTCAAAACCTTAGACGACATAACAATCCTTCAAGACTTGACCTTGTTATTTAAATAGTGACTCTGAATCTTCAGAGTTTTAGGAAATTCTGAGGAAATTTACGAACAGCCATAAACAGTGTCGTGCTATACCGTTATCATTTTGTTGCTCACTAACAAGGCCTTGTTTAACCCACTGCATGCGCACACAGCTGGTCTGAAGAAGAAGGAGAAGGCGAAGAGACCAAACGTCATGTCCCTCTTCGGTGCACACCGTTCTCGTGCTCAAATTTGATATGTTTTTCTTGACAAAAAGCTTATGTTGCTATAATTACGATAGATGAGCCTGAAGGAGAGGAGGAGCAGCAAGCGGCCACCGAAGACGACAACGACGGTGAAGGCAGCGTCCGGAACCGGAAGACGGAGCCCGAGCCCGAGCTGACAAGGAGCCTCAGCTTGCCGTCCCCCTCCGCCGACAAGCCCAACCTCGCCTTGCCAATGGATTAACGACAACATCGCTTCTTTCCCTTTGTGTACTCTGGACCTTTACGCTATGTCGTCAAGTCGGTGATGTTCCCTTGGATTGATCTATGTATGTCGTTATGCGTCGATCTAGCTCGTAGTGTTATTTCAAACCGGACTAGCTGAAAGGGGTTGATATTGCACATGCAAAAACGATTGGAAAAGCTACCTAGGGGTCTTCGGAAGAAAGGATAAACATGGTGATTGTTTATAATTGTTTGGAGGATAGCATTCTATAATTGTTTGGAGGATAGCATTCTATAATTGTTTGGAGGATAGCATTATTTTTTGGACTGCAATAGCTTTATTGGGAGGAATGACATTTGCAAACTTTTTGCTAGCTTTTCTTTAGATTCGCGTGACACTTTCTTAGCATGACAATTTCTTTGTAGGATTACATTTTTCTTCAGAGGAAGGCATTTTTCTTCTAAAATTGTCACCGTTTATTCTGGCGTTGTAACTAAAACTGCTAAAAAGATGCGTTCGCTTGCCATCCCCTCCCAGAAAACCTCATAAAAATACAATTATTTATTCTACCATTTTTATTTTATTTTATCTGTCTATCAATTCCTACTATTCCGTGCAATTTAATCTTGTAACTAGCACGACAAGAAACTTGACAACCTTCTTCACGTGTTGGGGATAAGTTGGTGTTGTGTTTTGTGTGCAGGTACCAATGACTTTTTTCTGCAAGAATTTTTTTGATCTATTCATCTTCAGTCATGACAATACAATGAACACCAGAAATAATAAAAATCTCATCAAGGTCCGAACAGACTTGGATCTTCGCTCGTTGTCCGGCTAGCTGGGCCACAGTTGCTACCTATCATAGCGTCGTAGAGGAGGAGGTATCTCATACCGCAACTCCTATCAGTCGAGGAGGTATCTCATACCCCATCTCCTGACCTATTTTTGCCACAAGGCCCAAAATTGTTTGGATAGCCTTGTCAACAAAAATGATGTCGTGTATGTTCGTGTCCGACACAAACCCTCTAGCCCAAGGACACCTAGCAGCACCACAGTTATATGAGCCCGCTGCTAGACATACAAGACATGCGAAGGTGCAACATCTAAAATAGCAAATGTGCTTGATATTTATGAGGGGTCTTTCTATCATTCAACATGCATAGAAATAATTTCATGAGCCCACTGCTAGATGTACAAGACATGAGAAGGTGCAACATCTGGGGTGGCAAATGTGCTTGATATTTACGAGGGATCTTTCTACAATTCAACATGCATAGAAATAGAACCAATATCAATCACAAACAAATAAATATTTCATGAATATAGTATGTCTCCTCCATGAAGGTCCTCCAGCTGGTCCTAACTCCAATAGCATGTCGGATCTCCACCCGAGCAACGCAGTTGCTCTATGTCCTTCAATATTACTACAACTAGTAATGAATTACAAAGAATCACAAGCCGGCACGTAGTTTGTAGTACATTATAGTGATAGTGCTTAGGCTCTAGCCGACTTGACAAACCCATGACTCGCAGGTCATGCAAAATACATACATGAGCCATACCATTCACCGCAAACATGCAAAACCAAGTGACAAATAGGTCAAAACTGATCAATCTCTCTAGGGTGTGTGTGTGGGGGGGGGCTACTATCACTGGACGGTCCATAAACTGGCATAACGCCACCATTAATGTGTAATTTTGGTCCTGGACTGGGTTGTGCCTGTGTGCCTTACTTTTGGTCCACAAACGAATTTTAATGTGTAACCATCTCAAAGGACATTAAACCTTACGAGCAAAGAGATACTGTTAACAACCTAACGATATCTTCCTCGATCTATCACTCTCACAGATGAACTCAGATAACAATGGTGGATTACAGGATCACAGATACACGAATTGGAGGAAGGAAGGTAAGGGGAAAGGAGGGTAGCCGCCGCCGGGTTCATTCGTGATCCACTGGATAGGTTGTTCGTTGCTTTTGCCCAAGTATTTGTAGCTGCATCGGCCAGAGGATTCCCAGCCGGGCCAGGCCCAAGTGATGTCCAAAGGCAAGCCCATATGGGCTAGGGGGAGGGCCCTGACATCCCCCCTCCTTGAGATTCGGCTTGCCCCCAAGCCAATGCCACCGAGACCCGCCTGAATCCCATTGCACTCGATCGTCCTTGCCCCTTGAATGGCGCCATTGAGAACCGCCCGGGTCCCATTGCCGTCGGTGTTGCTTGACTAGCTTGACGTCATGGTGGTAGTCGAAGTCGGGGTTGACTTGAACAACGAGGTTGTAGTAGTCGTGGCCGATGGCAACCTGACCAAAGGAGGTGTCGAGGAAGTAGTCGTTGTAGACGTTGATGTAGTACTTGTGGTCGACGTAGCCTTGCACCAAGCCGGCAGCAAGAATGACCACGATGGCATTCCCTACTTCTTGAAAATGTTCTACGTCGCAACATTGAGAGAACGACATACCACTCATGGCTTGTGCTTCATGGTTGGTGAGCATCGACATTAGGATCTTCAACGACCGAGGATTGCAAGCTGGCATGGCAACACTCCCGGGATCCCATGACTTGTGCACAATTGCATTTTGTATGTGTTCATGCATGCTTGCATTCTCATCAGAGTCAGGTAGTGACATCTACTGCTGAACTAACTGATGAATGGGCTTGTCCATATGAGATATTTGTTCCACTTTGCCCACTATACCATCTAGTTCAGCAACGTCTTGTGATGGGCCTCTCAGGATACTGAATGTTATATCCAACCAAAAGTCTCCTGCTACGCTCCACTTCCTTGTAGAAAGAAGGGAAATAAACATAGATGACTTGTTGTCAGGTAGCACAATATCCTCAAAATTAATCGGCGTCCAAGAGACCTTCTTGTCAAGCAAAGATTCACCTATGGTGTAACGCCCCGAGACTGTTGTGCCAGGTGTCCTCCAGTTATTCGCTGTTGTTGCCTTGTCATGCTTGCGTGTCATGCATCTCATATCATGTCATCATGTGCATCGCATTTGCATACATGTTCGTCTCATGCATCCGAGCATTTTCCCCGTTGTCCGTTTTGCATTCCAGCGCTCCTATCTCCTCCGGTGGTCATTTCTACCTTCTTCTCGTGTGTGGGGGTTAAACATTTCCGGATTTGACCGAGACTTGCCAAGCGGCCTTGGTTTACTACCGGTAGACCACCAGTCAAGTTTCGTAACATTTGGACTTCGTTTGATACTCCAACGGTTAACCGAGGGACCGAGAAGGCCTCGTGTGTGTTGCAGCCCAACACCCTTCCAAAGTGGCCCAAAACCCACCTAAACCTCCTCCATCATCTCGGTCGTTCGATCACGATCGCGTGGCCGAAAACCGCACCTCATTTGGACTCTCCTAGCTCCCTCTACATATAAATATGTGCTCCCCTCCCGAAATTCGCGGTGCAAAATTTAAAATCCCTCCCCTCGCGCCACCGGACAAATCCTCCCACGCCGGACAATGTCCGCGCCGCCACGTCGGAACAATCCGGGCGTGCCACGTCTCCCCTGGCCGTCTCCAGCCACCCTTGGGCCGCCATGTGGCGTTGCCACCTCACCCCAGCGCTCCCCACCGTCGCCGGCCCTGCGAGCCCTGCCACAGCCCACCTGAGCCCATCTGGGGCTCGGGACAGCCCCCGCGTCGCCTCCCGCTCCCTCGTCCCCGAGCTCCAGGGGAGGGAGCTCCCGCACCAGGCCCCGTCGGCGTCCTCGCCGGAGCTGCTCGCCGGAGCAGCAACGAGCTCCACCAGGTCGACCCCGTCCCTCTCCTCTCCCTTTTATCTCTCTTCTTTTTTTCTCTCCCTGACCTCTCTGCGCTTCCATGTGGTCAGCGCCGCCACCAGGGCTCCCTCGCCAACGCCCACGACGAACCGCCGTTGGATCCAGCCGGAATTGACCCGGCGCGACCAGATCTGGTCATCTCCATGTCCCCGCGACCTCCCCGCCGTTGTTGCGCCCTCGCCGGCGTGCGCCGTCGCCGCCGTCTCTGCCTTTCGGTTCATGCGGGCACGAGGAGGAAGAGCGCCTCTCGTGTGGGCCCCGCGTGGGCCGATGCAGCCCAAGGCCCAGCTCCCGGCCCAGTCGCCCGGCCTGCTGTTTCCACCGCCTTGGGAAAAGGCCCACTGGGTGAGAACCCCGCTGTGCACTGTTGGCCCAGTCCGATTCGGCCCGCCTCTGTTTTTTTCAGATCTACAATTTGTCTATTTTTCCAGAGGAGTGCATTTTTGCAGGAAAACCCTTGTGGATCATGCATATAATAACTCATGAATTGTGCATCGGATCTAAGTAAGTTATATATGAAACTTGCTTAGAATTTTTTCTAGATTCATAATATCCAACTTTCATCTATGTTTGAAATGTTTAAAATGCTGTTTGATTAAATTTGCTCCTATGTCATGTTAAAATGCTTTAATTCATAACTAAATAATCGTAGCTCGGATTTAAACAAACTTTATATGTAAATGGGGTAGAAAAATGCCTAGTATAACATGGTGGCATCACTTTGCATGTTTAACAACTATAAAATATGGTTTAGGGCAGAACAGTACCAAATCTATAATATGCTCATGAGGAGTTTTTGGATTTGTTGTTCGATATTCCGTCCTCATTTAAACTTGCCTAGATAGATAGTTTTATTGTGCTTCACCCTCTTGCCATGTTAATAAACATTTAATCTTGTTGGGTACATAAACGAGAGAGAACTAAATAAGTCATGTGGTGTTTTCTTCAATATGCAACTCCGTTGCATAATGAGCTCCACTTAATTTGTAGGATTGTTTGTGCATTTTGCCATGCCATGCCATGTATCATTAAACCGGACATACATCATACTTGGTTGTGCATCATGCCATGTCCACGTGTTGTTTATTTACTATGTTGTGTGCTTCTTTCCGGTGTTGCTTCTTCGGGTTGGTTCCGTTAACGTCGCGTTTGTGAGGAACCGTTCGACTACGCTCGTTTGTCTTCTTCATGGACTCGCTCTTCTTCCTTGCGGGATCTCAGGCAA